TAATTAATGATAATTATGTCATATGTCTAACTTTAATAGTTTTCTTGCTATTTAGAATTTAAGGAAAAATGTGTAATAAAATGTCATTATTATACAGGGTGGTTCAAATTCGATGTCCGAATAGGCTAACTCGGAAACTGTAAAAGTTAGAAAAAAAGTAGCTTACATGTCATGATCACGCTTTTCGAAAAACTGCTAATGCCGAAAACCTCAAAGCGCTATCGTCTTTTGTTTTTCCCCTAGGGGCCAAAATTGAAAATATCGTAAAACCAACAAGTGCAATTATCTTGGTTATTATTATAGGTGGAATATTATAACATATGGACACTTTTTTACAGAGAATTTCATGACGTAATCAAAAAAAATTTTTCGGTTTTAGATTTTGAGATATCATGACAATTTTCGTTTTTTTAAATGGACACAACCACTGATTTGTCGCTTATTAAATTCGTTATTTTTTCTGATTACAAAAATTTAGGGTTTGACAGGTCTATTTCTTATTGTTTTAGAATAAAGCTAAAAATAAACTTTGTTTTTAGTGTCGTCAAAGAAATTAAATTTACAGTTTCCTGTAAATTTAATTAAAAATCTAAAAAAACATATTTCTGATATTTGAAACAAATACATTTGTTGAACTATTTAATTTATTTTTGTTTTACACAAAAGTTGGAATAGATTGCGCATTATTTCACATTTCTTTATTAATATTTAATATTATTATTAAATGTCTTAATAAATGATTGATAGATGGCGTTCATATACTTTTTTTATATTTAAAATAAACATAGCAACATTTGTTTGTATTCAAAAATTTTCTGAAGTGTCAAATTTGTGTTTTTAAGATGGATTATGAAAATTACCAAAAGTTTAACATCTTAGAATGTTACATATTAGAAAATAAAGTAAATTTTATATAAATTTTTAGTAGAATAATTTTTGGTTATAGTACCGTAATTTACAGGAAACTGTAAATTTAATTTCTTTGACGACACTAAAAAAAAGTTTATTTTTAGGTTTATTCTAAAACAATAAGAAATAGACCTATCTAACCCCATATTTTTGTAATCAGAAAAAAATAACGAATTTAATAAGCGAATAATCAGTAGTTGTTTCCATTTAAAAAAACTAACATTGTGATAATATCTCAAAATCTAAAACCGA